TAATTATTATTTAAGTATAAAGTATATAATAACTTAATATGAGTTATGTTTATAAGTAAATTAAGATTCAATCAAATTTATAAAACAAGGTGACATAATGAAACTATATTAATAATAAATTAATATGGACTTTGACGAGACCATATAAAATGTTTTATATGCTATTAAAGGGCATTAGCCTATAAACTACGTATACTGAACCTTGTTACAATATAATTACAATTTATGGTCTTTGGTATTAAAAGTTGATTTTATAAAGATCTAAGCCCAAATTGTAGTTTGTAAATTAAAAAAATATGCAACTATGGTGTATTAGGTGTGTAACTGTAGACACAATTTTAAAACCTGAAGCTTGTGGATGTAAAGCTTGTCAAATTCAGTTAAAACTTGTTTTGTCCTTAAGATATAGTATGCTTGTTTTTATGTTTCAATGTAGGTATTCTGGTTTTAAAATTGTTTGCGAATATACAATAATTTCAAGAATAGCTTTTCCATTGAGCGAATCATAAATATAGAATTGCCAATCCAACTGAGTGTATTTTATAATACTCTGATCAATTATTTCAGTATACCGAAAAATATTTTCCAAGAAAATATGTGTATAATACTGTAGTTGTAATACTATAATTAATTATTTCAGATCACATGGAATAAAACACTAGCAGAATATTCAGATGTCAAATCTATAATACTTATACATAATTTCTATACTAGCATTATAAAAGCCTTGATGATATAATATTTTTACAATTTAAATATGAAATGTATTATGTGGTTAATTAAATTTTATTTTCAGTTGTATAGTTGATATGAAATATCTATGTTTTGTCAAACAATGGTCAATTCATTGAGCCTGATAGAATCATGATTTCTAACTTTTTTAAATCCACATAATTTCCCCGGCAATCAGAAGCCAATTGTACCAGAAATGAGTAACATAATTTTTGTATGGTAAGCTCATTTTAATCTTCCTAATGCAAAATGTACAAGTTTAATAATGATAATATAATTATTATTAGGAGGTTTTCAATCGAAATGCTCTATGCTTTAATATATGAGAGACAATATCATAGGTTCATCCTTAAAAATAATGGCATATATGTATAGTGGTTGTGATTTTGTCAGTGTCTGATTTTTGGGAGAACTCAGCAGTAATTCACTCAATAGTGATCAAATGTCGATTTGCTTATACTACCGAATGATGTTAGACATACTGTCGTTTAGTTTTAAAAGCTTTTCTTTTTACTAGCACCTTATAGGATTTCGTTTTCTGTCGGCATATAAATTTCTGTCTATTCAACTAAATTTAGTTCAAAGAGAACTTTCATGGTGGCACTAAATCTTAAACTATTTGGAAACATAATAAATAAGTATGTTCTTAGTATTATTTTTATATTATGATATTTATTTTAAATATGAATAATTTTAAATTTTTAAACTCAAATGTTGTCCATTTAAACTATTTTACAATAGTATTAAATAAATAAGTACATTTTAACTATTGATAAATATATAGTTAAAACAATTTTAAATCCAAATATGAATACTAAAATTATAATAACTAACACTTGCAGATGTTAATTAAATTAATTTTTATATTACATTATTTTAAATACCTAGCCTGAGTGTCTACCGAGAAAAAGTATGCTTTCTATAGCAAACATAAATAGTTTATTCGGAAATATGCAATACAATTAAAATAAATCATCAATATTAAGATACTACGATTTAGAAAATAAATATATTTCGAGAAAAAAGAAGGAAGGGAGAATAACTGAAGTATAAATAAAATATAATTATTTAAGTGACAAAGAACATAAAATATAAATGGTACAATAGATCGTTGGATATTTAACTCAATTACCAACATATTATATTATTTAAAACCACAATACATTGTATTGTTATAAATATTATAATAAGCATTTTAAACATAATTAAGTACCATTTACAGAGACAGTCAATATATTTTTTTTTCAATTACGAAAAAATATACAATAAATTATACATTTAAATGTCGACTCGGTTGCTGAAAAAAATGCGAATTAAATTAATAACAATATTAAATATATCATACGTTTCAAAATGTTGATGCAGGAAATATTTTAAAGTTAAATTCGTACAATTAATACTAAGCAACATAATTACAATTAAGTACCTATTTTGTGGTATCTACGTACTCGTAAATGTATTTTAAGACATTGATAACTCACTGCTTATCTTATAATATTTTTGTTCCTAACATTTCATTCGACGTTTAACTCATGAAAAACTCAAACAATTCTACTAAATTATCAGTCATTCCCTTGACATCGTTTTCAAACGGACGGAAAACATAAATTTATAATTAAACGTCACTGTAAGATTGCGAGAATCGGGCTGGCCGTCTTTTTATTAAATGAACTCACGAAACACTCAGACAAGCGTACATTATAATATCTTTAATGTATTATTATTTGTTTTTCTTTTAATTATTCTAACCCGGTACCGAAATCCATTGTTTACCATGAAAACGTCTTGTGCGTGATAATGCACAGAATAAAAAAAAGACGGTTTCGCATCGTGGCACAACGGTTGACCGTCGGCTTACGGGCGCCGGCATACACAGTATATACGATAAAATATCAAATAAATATGAAGTTAAATAAGTATTATTATTATTAGACGAGCGTTTGTCGCTGGTTAGAAATGCGGAAGAGGTTATTCTGAGCACGAACGGTCCACGAAAAAAAATTCTTTCCCTAAATGTATGTGACTGGTTGGTGATATAATAATATGTTTATCAATAAACAAAAATAAAATAAACAAATAAATAACATTCAACACGTGTCTCGAAACTTCACAGAGTCAACCAACTGTGTGTATAATATTACGAGCACCACTCGGGGCGTTATTGTTATATTATTCCGAACACCCGACGACCTCTCTTCTCCTCTCTTCTCTTCCAGTACTGCACATCCACAATCCACCCTCCGTGGCCGAGACACTGTACAGCAAAGACACTATATTACTATAGCGCCGTCAATATTATCCAAATAGTCTTAAGTGTCGTTAACTCAAAATTACTACCCTTCCCATCATTACGTCTTATGTCTAAACAATTTTTTTCAAAATTTCGATAAAAAACTGAAGGTAAATAGATATGTCCGGATTGTCGTTGAAATATTAATAACATCATAAAAGTGTTTGAGTTATTATTTTGTAATGTATTATTATAAATGTACATTTTTTTTCTCACATAAAATAAAAAAAAGTTTAATTCTACCTCGTGCAATATAAATGTAAAATAACTATCATGTAGGTATTTCTATAAATGTCTTTATATAATATGATCTTATGAAATTATAATATAGATAATATAATATATAATACAATCAAATTCCAATAGGTGCGTTCATCGCTCCACTTACACTCTAAGTCTAGGAGTCTTAAAATATCGCAAACATCTCCAAGTAGGTTTCATTATCCAATTTATATTTTATTATTGTGTTAATCTTTATAATTTAATGATAAGTTGAATAACTTCAATATGCCATATACTTAAATTATTTAAAATATTCAACTTATGTATACCTTAAATTCTAAACCTCATATTGTTTATCCTTTTAACATTTGTAAACTTTTAATTATGTTTCTCACGCATAAGCGCTCAACTATGAAGAATTGTGAAGAACAATTAAATAAATAATGATAACTCTAGAAATAAGACGTGGAATTTAAAACATTTTAAAAATCTGGTATAAGCATGGAAAATAATACAAATAAATAAATTACGTCCATTCAATTCCAAATAAAATAATATTATAGTTTTAAATTGCATGTAAAACAATGGAAACGATACATTTTTATTAATTCAGTTATACTTTTATTCCCCAGGTACACAAAATGAAAAATAACCGATGAAATGAATATATTTATAGATATTTGATAAATATTTTTATCTTTATGTAATAATATTAATAATTAGATAATTTATTTTCTATTTAGACTTTCATTGCAACTTTGTATGAATATTTAATTATATAAAACAACTCTAGGGAAATAAATGTGGAAAGAGAAAATAAGATAAATGAGGAGGTTTTATATAACGAATTGGACAGCTTATGACCCTTAATTCCCAAACGTCCAACAACCACTGATATTAAATTAAAAAGTAATATTTTATTAGAATACATGTCTTATCATAATTATTACAGTAATACTAATAGTTGGCATATCTATATTTATAAATATATGACTTATATGAGTAATAATCAAAATATAAATAACATGATAAAAAACCAGCGATATCAACGAGAATAAATATTGTAATAATGGAAATTTACAAAATTACATATATTGCCACAAAGTTTAACGAAGTTCTAAATTCTAATATTTGTATTCTATTTTCACATGACATAACTTAAAAATGGTTAGTTCCATAGTTTTAAAAAAAGCATATTATTAAATGTGACTTTAAATAGGCAATATAGAAACTTGAATTATGTTTTCATAATATAATTATTATTACTTCGGAACAATGAGAGATCAATATTATCTACAAATACATACGATTTTAAAATTATAACTATACTAAATAATACTGGAAAATGCGTTTATTATTTACACTAAAATAAGTTCAAACCCACAATGTGTACATCCAAAGAGTAAAAAAAAATGTAACTTAACGTTTGTTCAATTGTCTTAATTTAAGCACGTACATATAGTTATCAAAAAAATAAAACGCCTTCAGAGACTATTCCATGACCGTAATAATCAACAACAACTTGTAAATATATTTTAAGTTTATAAATGAGTACATAATAATATATCAATATAATAAATATTTTGTTACTCGTGTGAAAAATAAACAAATACCTACGATTTCGTTTACCATTCCCTTAGTGTTAAGTTTAAAAAATGATACTTTTCATTGTTTATCAAACATCTATTTATTGATTTTATGTGGGTAGTTGTATTAGCTAGTAAGCAACAAAATAGTAATTTTTTTTCGAACTCACTTTGTGTTCGCCGATGTTTTTCACCGAGCATACCAGTATCGCTTCCCGCCCCAATGCGACGGTGACATTTTCCATGGGATTCAAAAACTCTGGCTCCGGTCCATCCTTTTGCACGTCTATAACATAATGACAACAAAAATATACGAGTTTATTAAAAAATCAAAAAATCGTTAAACTTTTAAATCCTTTTTATAGATCTAGACTGTGTGTATACAACTGCATTTGTAATTAAACAATTCTACACATTTTTATAATGTATATAACAATATGTAACATGTTACCTAGGTATATTTTTGTATCTGGTATCAAGCAACCGTGGTCGTCGTATGCAAATTATAAACCACAAATACACTTCATATTAATACCTATAATACCAAGTGATGACTACTACAAGTAAACACAACTAAAGAAAGTAAATGAGGAAATCCATAGTGACCAGATAACAAAAACAAATTGTCATTAGTATAAATAGTATTATTAGTTTTGTACGCTTGTACATATTATGCGGAGTATAAATCGCTGGAAAATATTATTTAAACGATCTGACACTAAACACTACAAAAACACTACAATAGACTACTTTTGGGGTATCTACTACCTATTCATTTGCAGGATTATTATTATTTAATATGTATTTATTTGCTATCATCAAAATATTATTTCAATTACTGATTTGGGAAAAAAATATTTGTGTTCGATAATTTCATATTAGAGTAGTGGTCACTCTGAAGGTTCACTTTTTCCGTGCGTCAAAACTATTTCATCTCTTACTCAGTTACTCTACGACCTACATTCGCATTAAACAAAGCTTTATCAACATCACTGAGCGCGTTCGCCATTAGAATCGTCTATCTAAATGATAATATCTAAATCTTAGATCATAATATCTAATCTAAGATTATCTAAATTATCTTTGATCTAAATGCAGTCGATTTGCCGACGACGACGTGTCACTACCATAGACGTATAAAACAACTAGATAACCGACTACAGGATAATATTGAAGTCCGGCAGCCAACATGCCAGCAGGGCAAAATTGCATGTTTGATAATATTATATTCATAACATATATACCATATAAATATGTACAAGTATATTATCTGTCAAGTCATTTTGTAAACATTGCCATGTTGACAAATGGTCGACTGGTCGCACGACTTCAACTTTCTTGTGGGAATGTTTATTCAGTCCTCTGTATTGTTGTCTTATATGTCAACGGTCACTACAAGTTTACTACTATACCACAAGAAAGACCCAACAATGATGACTCATTTTACCACGCTGCAACGCGGTTTCGTTGATGTGGTTTTCGTTAGATGAAGGTCAGAAGTAGTCTTGTTTTGAACCGAATCAGAGCTTAGAACTGTATTACTTTCGTATGGCGTAAATTGAGCCATAGGTAGTACTCCAATGACGCACTTTTTTAATGTCTGATATTTTGTTGCCTCTGTTAAAATACTAGGTAGGTATAGAAAGTTATCTTTTGCAAAACGATTCGGATACGAATGCAAACATTATGTGAATGTGAAAATGCGACTAAACACCCTGTCCGGAAACTCTTTAATGCCTCCCCCATCACCGTCCCCGCCCCGCCAAACAACTGCCGCCGATTCGGATTCACGTGCTCTCCAACTCACATTTATTAAGAAGTTTTCCTCAAACTAATAGCTTTAATTAACGACGGCGGGGCTGAGCGAGAGTCGCGGCCGCGACATTAACTCGTTTGCCCCAGTGAAACGACGGTTAAGACCGTGTCGTCGGAGATGGCGATTATACATAGATATTGTGCAGGTTTTATGAAGCAGCTGAGCGTTGAATGTTTATCACTTAGTAATTATTACAATCTACATTGTTTATTGTGTGCAGCCACGATTATAGAGAACTATTTTGTGTGTATCGTGTGTGCAGCCCATTATTCGACGTTTAATATCGATGTCGCAATAACTGTGTGTGGCTGATAACACGATTTGTTGTGCGTGCAACAGCAATACTTCCGATGTCGATAAATCGTGGTTGTTAATATGGAGCTCGTCATACAGTGGACATTATGTATATGGCCGTCGTGCATATTATGTTCATGGAAGACGAGAATGAATTAGAATGTAATAGATTATGATGAGTATTTTTTTGGTTTAGCAAAGGGGTTTCTTTGTAAAATTTATATTGGTGAACTATAATATATAGTTGTCATAAAAATGTGTACCAGGTACAGGTACATATTGCACCTCCAGTGGTCTTACATCGGTCTCGTGTATAATCGGTTTCGATTCACAGATATTGGAATACCTAATCAACTACTCCTAACTAGCTATCGAATTGTTAATTATGTACGTTCTGATTAATAATGAATAAATCGATTCAGTCGTTTCCTATAAATTATGTTAACAAATTAGCGTAGTTGATTGTTAATTCATATTAACCCGACTACTCAAGGATATCAGTGGAAAACTATTAGGACTTATTATATAATATAATTAACTCAAATAACATATTGTGCTTGAGATTTTCCCCATACTTGCTTATGCTTACCAGATTGTTTTATTAACCATACAGAAATTTTTAAGTTGTAATGTATAAAGAAATTTATCCACGTTAAATCAACCATTACTTAGTTTCGTTAGAAAATTCAAGACTAACAGTAAATATACAGTTATTATTGATACTAGTTTTAAAAACAATTTACTAGAAAAAACAAGAAAGATTGGATAAGTTGAGTTGATTAAAATAAAAATTGTATGTTTGATTATCACGTGTTAAACATGTTTTAGAAAAATTAACTTATTGATTACGATTAAACTTTGTCGATTGATTAAAAGAACTATTAAAAGAAAATACAATAGTATAATGTCATATCAATACAAAAAAATTATATTTAAAAAAGTCTTAATAATAAAATTATCATTTCAATTAAGAAGATTAGATCGGGTAACTATGTATAAGTTGAAAATTCACTGTTTTATGAGATGTATGTAAAATCATGTAAATACTAAATATAATTTTGATGTATTTATAGCTGATATACGTTTAATATTTTAGATGTTCAAGTTATCAAATTAAATTAATATAGGTATCTTGTACAAAAGTTAGCTGAATTTTAATTGTCTGCTTCTGAACATATTCTAATCGAACAATTTGTGACTTTAAATATATATTAATTCTTTATTTTAACAATATCAGTTGAAGATAATGTATACGCATGTACACGATTTACATTTTAAAATCGCTTATACTTTTATTATATAGGTAAGTAGTAAGTACTTAAAGTACTATTAATTGAAAACATAATAATAATGATACTTAAATTTTTAAAGACTACGCTGGTACTTCTTTAAAAAATTAAATATTTTCATGGTTGGTACATAAAAAAAACACATATTTTAGCTATATTTCCAAAAATAAATATTAATATATAAAAACTGTACAACTAATTAGTTTTCTATAACTTTAATCATTGTATTCGAATATTTTTTTTTAAGTTGAAACCTCAATACCAGAATCATTGGCTTACAAAAGTATTACCTACTGAAATTATTAAAATAAATTGTAAGGCCATTTAAGATTCTTGGCTATGCTTATTGATTATACAATGATGTTTTTTGTTTGTATTTTTCATTACCTATTTGATTTTAAGACCTTTTAAAAATATAATTTAAGTATGCTAAAATGTCTGATGAGTTGTCTTTATAAAAATGTACAACAAATGTTTAGTTTAAAGTCGTCTAAATATAGTTTATGATCGTTTAAATTTTAAGCTTAGAAGAAATTGTATAATAATACTTTAAACAGCGATTATTCCACAAACACTTTTGGTTATTTATTTTTATTCACAAAATTCTGATTCTAGATACTTGAAACATTTCACTTTTACTTTAATTATAATTTTTTTATAAGCCACGAAATTTTTTAAAAAAATTTAAATGAATCTTACCTTATTTATATACAATGACTCTATTCACACCGTCATTTGATAGGTACATATAATCATCCAAAAAAAAGGTAAGTAATATAAAAACATAATAAATATAAAATATTCAAACTGCAAAGTTTAAATCATGATGTGTACGAATAAAATACGTTAAACGTATAAATAATTATTCTTAATATTTTCTGACATACCTGAAAAGTCTTGGAATTTTAGTGGCAATTCATAATTTTATTTGCTCACCGTTCATGATTGGTATTTGACAAATGTATCAATTAAAAATATATTTTCCTATAGAATTTTATTATAATATTATACCCACAATTGATGTGTTTATTTGTCACAATTATTTTTTAACAATCGAGAATGGATAAATTGTTTTTATGAATTGCGTGAGATTATAATTTATTGAAACTAGAGAAAATAAATAGTAAGCAGACGGAAAAAAATATATTATTATGGTAACACAAAAAATGCCCCACAAAAAGGATTTGCCTTCATTCTTGGTAAACGTGTAGGCTTACGTAAAACCTTCTGTTGTACACTTTGGTAAGTAAAAATTGCTGTTTTTTTCTATAACATTTGTACTAAAGTAAATATTATACATCTGAGTTTATGTATTACTAAACAGGAACGTGTGCACATTTATTACTAGGTATACATCAATGTGTGTATACCTATGCTCACATTATTATAATAAACCTTTAATGACGTACGCTGTACGACTGAAGTGGTGGTTATTAGTTTTACCGCGTTTTGTCGACCAGCTTTAGGCGTTTGAATACAACTACTTGCGAACGAACATCATAAGCAATCCCTCCAACTTTGTGGTATTATTATGGAGGCATTCTCTCTTTACTTTTTTTATTATTATTTCTTAATAATTCATTATTATAATTATTGCTATTACTATTACTTGCTATTACTGCAAATCTAGTGCATTTAATATTTTTAACTCGAACGTCATGTAAAAACGTTAAGAATCGTATTAAAACCAATTCGCGTAATTCTCTAAGCACCATACAATTTCAAATTAATTAATATATTATTAAAAGTAATTTATTGTTCTTGAAAGTAATATTTTTGTAAACATACTTCGACATAACATTACTATGTATGTGTGTTTGTATGTGTGAAGAACGTCAAATAAAATACTTTAGTACAGTTTTGTTACCTATTATACAGATTTTCTGT